TATATATATTTCTCTCCCCATTCCCCATTCTGGTATCCCTGGGGCTATGAGGCCTTTGCTCTCCACCTGCCCCTGTCCTTGTGGCTTTTGTTGACTTGTGGTACAGCATGGCTTCTCTCCTTGGATTCCTACACCCCTGGGCACCCATGTTTACCACTCTTTACATTTTCTACTCTGATCCCATCCTCAAAAGAAGGAATCTATTCAGCTGTGTTCTGTTTCACTTTCCACATTTTGTCTGGTCCATATGGCTAGGCTAAGACAGAGTCCCTGACACAATCTTCATCACTTGAGATGGTTCAGGAGATTGGAACCAACTGGTGTGCCCATCATGGGAGAAAATAGGCAGGAGTACTGATAATCTGAGAACTACAGAAGGGTGGGGCCATCTCTGCTGATGACAACTACCACCACAACAAGACAACAGCAGAGAGGATGGTAGGCACCACAACCTATGAAAGCTGTAGATCAGCCACAGCCAAGCACTGGGCTGAGCTGTGGAAGTCTTGCTGAAGAAAGGGAGGAGGGATCGGATGAGCCAGGGGAGTCATGATGGGGGAACCCACAGAGACAGCCGATGGAAGCTCATGGACTCTCGACCAACAGTTAGGGAGCCTCCATGGGACCAACCGAGGCCCTCTGCCTGTGTGTAACAATTGTGTAGCTAAGTCTCTTTGTAAGGTTCCTAGAAGTGGAGCTTAGCTGGCTTTTGGGAACCTGTTCCCCATGCTGAATTACCCTGACTAGCCTTGAGGAAAGAGGAAGGGCTAGGTCCTACCTCAACTTGATGTGCCATTCTTTGCCTAAGCCCATGGAGCCCTGCTGCTTTCTGAGTGGAGATGCAGGAGGAGTGGAAGGGGAGGGGGACAGATGGGAAGCTGGAGTGGGGGAACTGAGAAGAGAGGAGGGAGGGGAAACTGCAGTCAGTATGTAAAATAAATGAAAAAAAAATATATATATATATCATCCATGACAACTTCTTAAATCTTAGCTCAAAAAGTAGTGATATTAAATCCACAAAAACATCAATAAAAAGTTAAATTTGAAAAAAAGAATAAAGGATCAGTACAGAAAAATTATGCTTCTTTACACTGTAATAATCTAAAAAATGAAGTTTAAAAATTAAATCTATTTGCTACAGATTGAAAATAGTAATAGGTTTAACTAGAGTAATACATAGAGTATTAGAGTAATAAAGGTAAAATATATAAAAATCTTACTGAAATAAATGACAGAAGACTTGAGCAAATGAACAGACACCCCATTTTCATAGATTGGAGAACTCATAGCTGCAATGGTCATACTACCCAACAAAATCACACATACACTAATTTTTGTACTTTATAGGTGTACTTTGTACTTGACTAACAGGGACAAAAAAGAGGAAAAGAAAAAGACACCGAAACTTAACAGAAACAAGCCAGAGATCCTCACCTTGATCTACATAGTGCCACACAACATGGTGAGTCCTTAGCAACCGTACCAGACTGACCTCCCATTTCCCATTAAATATCAAACTTCCAGCTAAGGACTCTAATGACAGAAGAAGATGGAATCAGGTATTTAGTATTTATGTAACTGAAGACTCATGCAGAAAGGGGGTGGGGATCAGACTTCCTGTTGTCCCTACAGGATGATCCTAAAGCTAAAGGCAGGCACTTAACAGACTTCAATGCGGAAGTAACCAGCTCTTGCACCTGAGATCTGCCTGTCATGGAATACACTATACTCCCTTCACTGCCCAGTCCAGCATAGACGCTTGGGCCTCTTGGAAACTTCAGAGGGACACATTCTGTTGATTACACAAATAGTGTCTCCTTTCTTTCATGGTAGTTTGACGTCATATCCTCCTGCCTCAGTACCCTCAGTAGAATCAGGCACACAGATTCAAATTCTGGAGGTTCTATACAAATTCCTGTGACTCTTGAGAGGCAAACTAAAGGATACAAACAAGGAATGGCAACATGGAGGCAGTCGTGGAATCTGCAAAGAGGCAGGAAGCTCTAAATTGCTGCTAGGCACCCTTCAAATCTGGTGGGACACTGATGCCTCAGGGGAGGTGTACATAGGACGCAGCCCTGCCACACTGCATTCATCCAGGAGTAAAAGACAAATGCCTGGCCCCAGAGGCCTCAGCTACATGGCCAGCCCCTTAGAGATTGTTCAGGCTGTGAAGAGCCCCTCTCCCAAAAGTATGATCATTTCTAGGAGAGGCACCAAATAACTTCTTAAAATCAAGGCATAATAACTTTCATCTCTTGCCTCTCTAAAACAATTGTGAAAATCATGCAAATATCAGAATTCCATAGTGGGATGGAGTCCCAGAAGAATTGTTATCAGAGGCCCTTTCCCCCGTCCCCATCTTCTATCCTCCCTAGCACATCTCTGAGGTGATCTCAGAAACACAGTTCATATGGGGTTTTCCCTTTCTTTCCATCTCAGGATCTGTCTTGCTAAAAGTCCAACCAATATATCTTCTCTTGCTATGTATGGAACACTTCTCCTGCTGTTTAAAGAACTGGGTTACAGTTCCCCTGGCTGCTACATGTCTTTCCGGGAGCCAAAAGACATGGTTCTTTGTCTTTGCATCTGCCCACTCTCTTCATTAATCAAAAGCCATGCTAGCCATGTTAGCAGGGGCTCTACAGTGTTTGTTGACCTTTATACAGGCAGGCTTATTGACCATAATGAGACAAGGTGAGTACCAAGACACCCATCTGAGGACAATGAGCAAAAATCATAACCTCTCTAGGCTTCTGTATTCTTCACTATGAGAGTGATGAAATTGACCTAAAGCTGACTCCAGCCTACAAATGATTGTTGATACACTTGAACTAAGAATGTCAAGTAGCAATGACTTTAACCTTCACAGGATTGTCTTGTAAAATCCTCTTGCTGATGTTGTCTATCCACTCTATCTGGTCATTGTACCTGAAATAGCCAATAGTTGGGACACTTTCAGGGCCAGTGAGCCTTCTGGGAGAATTGAGAGGGGACAGGGAAGGCTCCTGTGTGAGTTCACCTATCTTCCCAGCCTCCCCCTAAGAGGAAAGGGTTAAGGATGAAAGAATGTGTTTCATCTCAGCAGCCCCAGCTCTGAGTAACTCTTTCCTTAGCAACAAAACAGCAGCTCAGTGCCTGCTTCTATTTTTCCCCCAGTTAGAGCCAATCTAGCATCTTGTTGGGGCTAAATGCCAATGGAGATAGTCACAAGAACAGGCAGACGCAGGAGCTGTGGGCTATTGCTCTCTCTTCCTCTACCTCTCAGGGAGACAATGGCAGGATCCAGTTGCTTATCTGCTTGCTTATTCCAGCAACTGCTGCCTGGTCTGGTTGCTGTGGGGCAACAAGGCCCTTAGCACTGTCTTTCTGTCTTATTGGGCAGACAGAGGGAGGTTCATTTAAACCCCAACAAATGACATAAGTTGCCACCCTCAGTGCTCTTACCCAAAGAATAAGGGACATAAAACATCCTCACACTAAAGAATTGGGAGGAGCAAATTACAAAAGGTAAGAAGCACACAGGATGGCCTTCCCAAAGACCAGCCACAGGCCAGGCGTCATTGTCTCCACTCTCTGAACTTAGACTCACAGTCCTGGGATCATTGACAGGGACTCTGGTGACATCCTTCTCCTATAATTATCTTCTGCTGACACTGAGTGTTTATGACAGAGAAATGTAAGTAAGTTTTCCAAAATTTGGATTGCAGGACCCAATTCTCTGCTTCCTGCATCGCTGGCTGTAAACACATTATTGTTGCTGAGTCTCTCATTTTCTCAGTAGGCAGTGGGTCTCTGCAACCCCATCTCTCAAGGATGAGTGTGAGAGCCAGAATAACTCACCCATGAGATGGGTGGTCTTGGCCTCCAACAAGTTTCTCTACTTGAGAAGCCACAACTTGGAATGCAGGTGTGATTTAATGATACCAGTGAGTACATTGACCTGGGTAAGCAGTGGCTGGCCAGAGAAGACTCCAGGTGACTAGACAGAGGAGCTTACATGATGGTGCATTGAGAAGGATGTGCTTGTAAATGCTGGGCAGCATCCCTGAGTGCTCTGCTCAGACCCATCTATACTTCCTAGAGACTGATAATGCCTTCCCTAAATATACAAGCTTGACCCATGTCATTGAATGGACTTGTATGATGCCCCCTCCCATGCTCACTCCACCAAGAAGACTCCTATTCATCTCTCAAAACCCAGCTCCACTGCGGTGTTTTCCAGGTGTTCTTTTAGCACCATGCCACCTGTGACCAGGGCTATGAGGACAAGTAACAATGAGGGTTGCTCTCCCTAGCTCTAAAAGAAATGCTGCTTTATGTGAGGCATACCTCATGCCATAGACTAAAACTGAGAGGAGTTATTAGGGACAGACTATGTGTCATCACAAGTACCAGGGATGTCCCCTTTGGGTCATCTCTCCACATCAGGAAGAGATCAGCTGGGCAGAGAGTCCCAAGGAGGGAGACAGGGACCCTGCTGGAGCATGAGGAACAATAAATTCAGAGCCACTAATCACAGGTAACCAGGGCTTAGGCCCGTGAAAGTGGTGACAGGATCAAGAAGAAATCCAGAGTAGGGCTGCTTGCTATTCAGCCACTGCCCTTTTCTTTCTAGAGAGAACTGCACTTGGCTGTCTCTAGGTATGAGTTCCCCTGAGCCCCATCCTACTAATTGGCAGCTGCACGGACCAACCTTTCCAAGAGATCAGTGGGCCATAGAAGAAAAGGTCAAGGGAAGCAGCAGGATTGTGTGTGAGGCTCAGGAGTGAACTGGAGTGACCTCTTGCAGTCCAGTCCCCTCCCTCAGTCTCTCTCCTGGGCCACACACTGTGCACTGTAATTCCACTGCTGCATTGGGTGGAGGGTGGAGGACTCAGGAGCAGAGAGCCACCCAGGGGCCTCAAGGTCCCCAGAACAGAAGCACCAAGACCTCCCCCTGGTGCTGATTCTAACTTGGGGGGTGGAGTAGTCCTCCTTCCTCAGGTAAGGGTCCCAGGGCAACGTGCCCTCCCCAATTCCAGAATCAATGCAGTGGCAGCTGCACATAGAAGATAGGAGAGAGTCTTCCTAATAGTAGGGCTGGATGAGTGTCACCTTTATATTTATTAAAAAGAATAAGAAGATGTAAGATTCTACCTGGGGTCAGACACAGGGCAGGCAGGATACTATCCAGCACCAGGAGGGTAGATACCAACCTCTGACATCTCCAAAGCTCTTCCATGCTGTCCCCCTCCATGACACAGTCTCCTCATCCATCTGCCCTTAGTGATCCTTACTGCTGCGGAGACCCCTCTGTAGCAAAGATCTGCTGGCAATGAGCCTCCCTGTGCCCTGTGCTAAGAGGCTGAAGATGTGTTGCTTGAGGGCCTAGTATCTTTCCAAGAAGACCCCTTTTGTATAACTGACTTTTCTGAAACTCCAATTTAAAGACCTCCCTGTCTTTCTGAGGCCCAGTAAGTTTTCCTTGACTGTCCTCCTCAGTACCACCTTCTTCAGTAGCCACTGTGTCCCTTAAAATGTTGGTAACCACATTCATCAGCTACTCATTGTGTGCCCAGACTGTAGGTTAGAACTCTGTGGTAAAGGGAGCCCATCCCATTATGTAGTTGGGAAAAGAGGCTCTGGAGTTTAATGAGGTTAGTTAGTAAATATTGAGTCTGGAATTCGAACAGTCACTATTTGGGCTATAACATGCTTTATTTGTTTGTTTGCTTAGTTTTGCCACAACAGGTGGTCTGGGGGCAGACTGAAGGGCTTCTGGAGTTTTGAAATGTACTAACCTGTTGGACCACTAAGGAAGCTGAAATACTACAGCTCTGCTTCCTTGGTTGTTGATGCCCTCCTCAGAGGTGTTCCTGGGGTTACCTGGGTGATGAGGAAAACAGTAACTGTATTTCACAGGGGAGAAGACTAAGGGACAGCAGGGAATCACTTGCCTCAGGACTTATAGTTATCACAGGCTTAGACTAGGATTGGATCTGCTCACCCCTCTCTGGCGTCAGAGGACACAGACATGGCCCCATTCTGTTTTATAGACCCTCATCAAGAATGTGAGACCTCAGCTCCATCCTCACATTTGCATCTTCCATCACCCAGAGACAAGTTTTCAAGCATACCTAGGAAGATTAGGCTATGGTGGGGTGGGAAACACAAGTTTCAGACCCGATGCTCCAAGTATAGACAAGTAAGCACCCATAGTGCACTGGAATGTATCAGACACAGACATAACTCTACCCAGAGAATCAGCATCATGAGAAACCAGCAGAGTAGAATTTCCCTCTGCAGATGGGGTGTATGTGGGTCATTCCCATCTCACCATGTAATGTTTTTACTTTAATAGCATCCCCATACAATGGTTCTGATTTTCACCTTCATTGTGGTACACAGTGAGTTCCATCAGGGATTCAACACCTTATCATAAGATCAGGTTCACACAGCATTGCCCAAGATCAGGCCAGTGTCAACTCCTGAGCACTTTTCAAGTGCCCTGGGTTAAACTGTCATGGACAGTAAATTACACAGAGAAAGGGCACTTTTTATAAAAAAGATTTCTACTCTTGATTTTCCTTCTCTTTTTTTCTTAAGTTTTTCTTATAAAAGTTAAGACATTTTGTTTGCTTATTTTTGCCACAGCAGGTTGTCTGTGGGTGGATTGAAGGTTGTGTTTGCCTCAATGTACCTATGTGCACCACATACATGCCTGGTGCCAGTGAAGAACAGAAGAAGCCACTGGATACTGTGGAAATGGAGTTACAGGTTGGTTTGGTTTTGAGCTGTCCAATGTCAAAAAAATCAATAAGAAAATGAATGAAAGTGAGACTGATATATGAAAGGATGAAGGATGGATGAGTGAGTGAGTGACGCTGGAGGATGTGGCTCTTTACCTAAATGTCTCAATCACAAAGTTTTTTTTCATTCCTACAGGGGATGGCCAGCTAGGAGCCAAGGAATCAGAGTGATTTTATCTATGGCTTAAAGATATTTAAGGACCCTCTATGTCCTCAAGTAGGAAGTCCTTTACCCTGGGGTCAGTCCATGCAAGGGAAGGATTCAAGTTATACAAATACCAGGCATATGTGATCTGTAAACTCTTGCAACGTCTACCGTCACAGCAAACACCCTAAGTGAACAAGTCCTAAGCTTTGAAAAGGATGCAACGCATAAGATGAAAGAATGCTGCGATAGGGTTAAGAGAAAAAGGTAGCCAACTCCTGTTTGCATTTGAATCTGGCATAGGATCTTGAGCAAATGACAGAACTTCTCTATACATATGTTCCCTACCTCTGACATAGAAGGTAGTACCGTCACTTGTCCTGCCTATCATTTTTTATAAATGCATGTGAGTTTCAAGCTGTTTGACATAATTTAAAGCGACCCCCTACCCATCTTTTAATGTTCAAAGAAGACTGCCAATCATGCTTGGTACCATAGATACCTAACAGCTATAGTTTTGTTGTTATTACTATTATTATGGCCCATAGTGTTGGAATCTATTCCAACCCTGTGCTAAGCTAGTTTACACATATGGACTCTTCATTCTGTGCTGTTTGATAACACAAGCCTACTCCATCCTGAAGTCAGAAGGACAGTTAAAGAATCTGATATCTCTCAAAGAGGTTTCCTAAGATGTCCTGATTGTCCATCTTCTCCCTGCCACAGTACAAAATAAGTCCTCTGACACTCGTGTTTTCTAAGCTATCAGTCTCATGGAAAGAGCTGTTGAAATAACAATGTGGGCAAAGAAGTGTCTTGGTGACCTGTCCCAACACCCCAGCCAGTCCTTTACCCTCCTCATCCATCTTTGCTCCTCAAAGACCCTGAGACAGGGGAACATGGCACATCCTCTGACCAGCAGGAGATTGCAGTTAGACAACTAGAACCAGGGTGAACTTGTGGGAGTATTGCTTTCCTCTTAACTGCTCCGGAGATGTTGATGACAGCTCAAATGCTACCAACTCCACCGCCATCATCTCAAGGGGAGCCAGATCTGCAGGAGTCTCCAATGATGGAGATTTGTCGCCCCTTTGAGGCACAGGGAAGTCAAGCTCTTCAATTATCGGTTCAGCTGTAAGAGCAAGGCTCCCTAGTTCACCTAACCTGTTTTATTGACTTTAGTTTGCTTTCTGTGTAGTTTGTGATTTCAACAACTTGAATGAAGCACAAACAACCATAAAGAGAATGAACCTTCTGTGGTGATTCAATTCTTCCAGTCAGTGGAAGACTGTGTCTCAAGCATGCTTTTGACATGAAAACCAATCAATTAAGGGCCATCCCTTTACTATCTGATTTGAGCCCACCTTACCTTCCCCTACTCCCTGAGAATTCAATTATTTTCTGTTTTAGTCATCCTAGGGTAGATTTCAGGCAGCTCAAGATGACCACTGTGCTCAAACCACACACCCGAAAATATGTGACAGGCCCATCTTAAACTCATGATACTGCCTGTCTTTTCTTTCTCATGGAAACTAACATGAAAAGCTGTGGAGACTCGTGCTCTCTCCCCATTCCCATCTTTAGACACCTGACCAAAATATGGTAATTCCCCCTTGTAGTCCTGTACAGACTATGATAGCCTCTTTTCAGGGCTCTGTGTCTCGTGACTGTGTTGTACTCTTTCTCTTGCATCTCCTTTTGCAGGGGCATATCTTTTTAATCTTGAGAAAAAGCACAAAATATTAACTTGGTTGAGCATTCAAGTAGTGAGAATGACCCCAGAGCTTGGGGGACAGAGCAGTTGATGCCCAGTTCCATGTAGAACTGAATCTGACTATCTTTCTGGAGAGCCAATGAGGAAGAGCCTGTCATACACTGTACCCCAGCCTTCTAATTCTCAGAGTTTATTCTAAGAAAGGAAAAAGTTGAACATTGATACGTATGTCTGAGAAGGGTATATCGCTGTTTTAATTACAATTATAAAGGTTTAGAATTTGGTACTATGTCTAATGATTAGGGAAAAGTATCTCATGTAATAACATACTCAACTGCCATTAAAACTATGTTTGAAAGAAATGCTTTGTTCTATGGGAATGTATTTAGTATATGATTTCAAGCTATGTCTTAAGGTTGGACAACAATGTATTTTAAATAATCCCATCCAGCTCAGTCTCAGTCTACATGTAGTTCTAAGAAAATACCTCAGAAAAATAAATCAACATAGAAAAATCAGTTCTATTTGTATCCACTTACAATAGATAATATGAAAAGGAAATTTAGAAAACAATACCATTTGTTAGCATGCCAAAAGAATAAAATACTTACAAATAAATATAACCAAGGAGGTGAAAACAGGTGTATCAAAAACTTTAAAATATAAATACATTTTAAAACAGGAGGATGTGGGGATGTCTTAAAGTACTTGTTGCATAAGCACGAGGACCTGAGTTCCCTGCCCTACAGCATGTATAAATGCCAGCCATGGTGGTAGGTGTTTATAATTCCAGTGCTAGGAGGCAGCTGACAAGAGAAGCCTGGGACTTATTGTCCAGTCAACCTAATGAATTGATAAGCACAAACCAGTGAGAGACCCTGTCTCACAAAGCAAGGTAGGTATGGGGAGATGGCTCAGTGTTTAAGAGCACTTACTGCTTTTGCAGAGGACACAATGGATAACATGAAAAGGCAATTTAGAAAACAATACCATTTATTAGCATGCCAAAAGAATAAAATATTTATAAATAAACATAACCAAGGAGGTGAAAACAGGTGTATCAAAAACTTTAAAATATAAATACATTTTAAAACAGGAGGATGTGGGGATGTCTTAAAGTACTTGTTAAAGTGCTAGGGTTGACCCCTAGCACCCACATGGTCCCAGGGGATCCAGTGCTTTCTTCTCACCCTCATGGATACCAAATGCACACATGGTACACATGCATACATTCAGAAAAACACTCAAATATAAAATAAAATAAATAAATCTAAGTTTAAAAATTAAAGGTATCACACATGTATACAGACTTGCAAATATTTTCTTCCAATTAATTAATGGGTTATTTTTCACTCTCTTGATACTGTTTTTGAAGTCCAGAAAGTTTTTTATTTGAGTACTGATTAGTTTATTCATTTTTAATTTTATTGCCTGTATTGTTTTTATGTAGAATAAATTGTAGCTACGTTCAATGAGTCTCCTATGTTTTCATATAGTTTCAGCTCTTACATTTAGGTGTTTGACCCATTTTGGATTAACTTTGTATATGATGCCATGTGAGGGTTGAACTTCATTCTTTTGCATTTGAACATACAGGTTTCCTAATACCATTGTTGAGAAGCCTGTCTAATCACATTAAATAGTCTTGGCACCCTTGTTGAAAACCTCTGGACCATACACATAAGGGTTTAAACCTGATGTCTTAATTCTATTCATCTATATGTTTGTCCTCACACTATGTCCACACTATTTTGATGGCTATAACTTTCTGGTAAGTTTTGAAATCAGAAAGACTTCCAACTTTGTCTCTCTTTTTCAAAAATTCTTCTGGTTACTTAGAACTCACTGAAACTAATAAGAAGTTTTGAATGGAATTTAGTAACTTCTACAATAAAAATGCCATTGCCATACTTACAGACACTGAATTAAATCTACTTACCTTGGATGGTATTGGTATTGATATCTTAATGTTCATACCCATTCATAAATAGGTTTTCATCTGACCCAGAATGGAGACTTTTCCATTATTTGCTCTTAATTTGGTTTTTGTATTTATGTGTGTATATCCAAGTGTGTCTTAGTAGAGTAAGCACATGCTCATAGGTTAATGTGGAAGTCTGAAGACAATCTTAGAATATCCAAGTACATGGGGGATATTTAGAATATGTAAACTACTATAACCAAGCAGCAGAGACAAAGAATGTGGCTGAATATTTCTCCAAAAACCTACTATACAACAAAGAGCTTCCAACCCTGTAGGTGAGCATAGGGGTGAGTCTCAGCTCTGGGCAGACCCGAGACCCTGTTCCCTCTTGTCCTTTTGGGAGCTTCTCTCCTCAGTCTTTTGATTCTTTGTCATTTTTTTCTAATGTACAAACTCAGAAGTGACAGACTGGATATCCAGGGGACCCTGTGCATGTCTCTGGATGTGCTTTCTCTGTCTATGCAGGTTTCTGCTCGTGGGCATTCTGGACTGTGAATTTCTAGCCATCTGGGTTTCCTTGAACTCCCAGCTCAATCTTTTTATTTCCAAGACTAGACTCCAGCAAGCTCCAGTGGGAACTACCCCCTTGTTCTGTGACCTGGAAATTCTCAGGGCAGAAGCAGGATGGTCATGGAGCACGTATCTCATTTCTTTCCTGTCCCTCAGGCAAAGGCCTGCTCTCTACTATATCTATTATCTATCTATCTATCTATCTATCTATCTATCTATCTATCTATTATTCTGTCTATCTATCTCTCATTTTTGCTTTCTTTGTCTTGTTTTCTTAAGATAGGGTCTCATAGCCCTGGCTAGCCTGAAACTTGCTATGTATACCAGGCTGGCCTTGGCTTCACAAGGATCCAAGCTCCATGTGCTGATATTAAAGACATGCACCACCACTCTCAACTTATCTGCGATCTTGAAAACTATTATTTTTATTATTTTTCTGTTCATTTGCTTTATTGTTTGTTTGTCTAAAATTATCCCATTTGCCCAAAATTCTACCCATCAGTCTACATTCTGAGTAAAACCAGATTGTAGAAAAAAATGTTAAAAGAAGATCCCGAGCATGTAGCTGGATCACCCTATCTTTATCTCACATTTTGGAAACAATACCCCTTAATGCCGGGCAGGCCAGTGCTCAGAAGCCATGGTGAATGGATCTCCCACCCACACCTGACCTACTATAGGGAAAACTGCACTGCCTGGATGCCCCCTAAGAGGTGGCAGCTAGCCAATGCTTTATCCTGGTGCTGAATGAGAGGCATCAGCTAATCTTTGGAGACAACTGAATCTAGTCCTTTTTGCTTTTACAGAAGAAGAAATAAAATGTCACCAAATGTCAGGGTCAACAGAGACTGACATACCAGGAGATGAGACATTTTCATGGATTCCCTAGAGAATGCAAATATGCCTGAACGGATTTTATAGGAGATGGGGGAATCAAAGAACTAGAAAAAGAGAACTCCAGGGCATTCTCCTAGAATGTCCACCCAAGCAGTTCATTTACACACATTGAGAATATTTCACCCCAAAACTCACTACTTTGATTCAAGTGTTTCAATTTTCAGAAGAAGAGGTAAAATCTCCCCAAATGTTTGATTGAGGTCAGACAACAAGGCCAGTACTGACCTGGAATACCAACCAAGAAAACCTGGGACTTAGTGAGTCACTCTTGCATCCGGGCCACTGAGGGTGCTGACAAGTGGGATAGAGATGCAGAAGTAGGGATTCCTGACTCCTAAGGTGTCCAGACTATTTGATGTGATTAGATACAGATTCTCAACAATGGCATCAGGAAACCTGCATGTTCAAATGCAAAGAATGAAGTTCAACCTTCACACGACACAAGACAATTCAGACCACAATTTTGTCATAAGTACCCAGAAGCAAATGGATGCACAATGCTCTGTGATGAGAAAGGCATCCATCATGACTGTTATAATAACTATTACTGATGCCAAGCTGAGCCGGCAATTTCAGGGAGGCTCATTGTCAATCCAAGGCATCACTTTCACAGCTCCATCACAAGCTTTTTTTTTTCTTTTTTCTTTTTTTTAAATTAATTTATTTTTTACCTTCCAATCCCAGTTCCCCCTCCGTCCTCTTCTCCTACTTCCTCCACTCTCCCCTCCTCCCATCTGCTTCACAGAGAGGGTAAGGCCTCCTCTAGGAAGTCTACTAAGTCTGTCCCATCATCAAGTTGAGGCAGGACCAAGGCACCTCTCCACCCCCACACCCCTGCATCACGAGCATTTTTTAAGCTCATTCTAAACGTTGATTCTCCATAACAGCTTGATCTAGTGAGAGTTCTGTCTGGTGAATAATTTGAAAGATTCTATAGACCATTTTCAAGGAGATCCTTTTCCCTAAATATGGGGTTAATTTAGAGCAAGGAAAAATGAAAGGCACTAGGAACCCCTGTGTAACTATCCTAGTAGTAAAAAGTGACAATTGCACCCCTCCATTGGGCAGTCAGACTACCGAACAATGCATGAAAAAGAATTAAAATTTTCTAAGAATCCCATGCTGGGGGAAAGAAAAGGCTAGCTGATGCCAGCCAGAGAAAGAGATTCCTGCCCAAAAAGAGATTTTACACAGTTCTGGTATCTAATAAGAGCACCTGGCAGGACAGACCTGAGCCCAAACAATGATGAGTCGATGATAGACCAGACTACATCTTGACCAGGACCACTTATTTATACACACCTTTCCCCACCTCTAAAACAAAACATCATAACAGCATGCAGAAGATCGATTTGAGGAGCACTGGATCTCTTTATCTGTTCCTCTTCCCAGTGTGACCACACTGAGTGATCTCTTTCCTCTGCTCCTCTCTATTATGGGTCTCCTTGGTTGGTATATTGGGGGAGGGTGGCCACGCCTAGCTTGTTGGGACTGGCAGAGCCCAGGCTTTGACCCTGTAACAACTCTGGTAAGATCCATGGGTAGAGGAATAGAAAGGAGTTGTCTGAGGTTCCTCAAAAAGCTTTGGGAGCACCTTTTCCACTTCTTTGTTTCAGCCAAGAACTTTAATAAAATCGACAGAGCAGAGAGTCCAAAGGACAGGAGCCATGTGCTTTCAGGTCACTCTGCAATTAAATCAGAAACGCATGGGAAGATATTTGTCCTTGTGAATGTACAATATTTGTGCAGTCCCAGGACTTGGCCCCAAGGTCAAAGAAAGCTCCCGATTGCATGGCTACTGATGAACAGATTAATATTTTACTTTGCTTGTATTTGTTGGCAAGGAACCTGCAGACATGTAATAAGCCCTGACTGGACTGCACGGAAACACAGCAATGATCTGTTCATTTCTTTTTAATTCATAATCTATGTCAAATCTGCTTACTTTTATTTTTACAGACTTTATTTTGCAAAGCAAGTTTAGGTTCATTGAAAAATGGGGCAGAATCATTTTTAAAATATAAAGTGCATTGAAATTCATGCCTCAACACTAGGCCCAGTGAAAAACGACCAAGCATGCAATTCAGTCATCTGTGTCTTATTCCCTCTGCCACTCAATACACATATGGCAGCTGGTGATATAAAAGGTACCAGGTTAGGGAGGACTGATGCTAAGTCATCCCAGATACAGAAGACCACCTGGTCCCTCAAACCAAGGATGTTCTAAATACTCTCAGCACAGGCCTGGGGGATTTGGGCACTAGTACAACCACCTGTGTCTGGGACCACTAAAACTTTCTTGCAAGGTGTGTGAATAGCCTGTCTTGCATTGAAGCTGTGTGAATTGTCTGAACAGCCAGTTGTACTTGTGACTGAGATGGCCTTCCTTTGGGCAGAACATCTGGATTGTATGAACCCAGTGACTCAAGCTTCTGACAGTGTATGGGAAAAGCGTTCTCCATTCATTAGGATTCTACACTGGTACAGTTTGGGTTGACCAACCACTCCCCCTCCTCCCACCCAGTGACCTGTGTCTGAGCCTTGTGTAAGTCAAGGGAGAGAAGATACAATGGGAAAGACACTGCCTTGGTCTGTTGTTGCTATAGCATAACACTTGAGACTGAGTGATTTATTAAAGAGAGAGGTCTATTTAGTTCATACTCAGCAGCTGGGATTCTATGACTGCACAGCTTTATTTAGCAAAGGCCTCACACTGTGTGATAGCATATCAGAAAATCAGAAAGGCACAAAAAGTGGGAAAGAGAGAACACACGAGAGACGACCTGGTGTTTTAACAAGCCTGTCTTGGTGAGTAACCAAATCTCATGAGAAAGACCTCATGTTCTTCCTCCAGAATCAACCCAGCTCCCTAGTCCTGGAAGAACAGCCCTAATCCCTTCACGGGGGTGGAGCCCCATAACCTAATCACTGTCTTAAGGTTCCACCACCTATCTGCTGTTATACTGATGACCAGTTTTCAGCGTGAGCTTTGGAGAGGACAAACAACATTTACACAATGAGCAGATGTTTCAAG